ACCCGTTCCCCGCCGCGTAGTTATTCTCCCGCTCGTAGTCCTCTGTAATTGTAGGCGTGTGCGAGTCGATTGCTAGCCAATCCCAGGTAAATACGATCGTTATCGGGATACCATCTCTCTGAATGAGATTGCGCACAGTAGCGTGTAAGGCGTCTGTGATGGCTGTGGCGAGATTTTGTGGGGGTATGAAGGCGCCGCGTTGTCGTAGACGCGTGGTAAAGTGTCTTGCGCACCCCCATGCGTTCGCTCGTACGATCTATAAACGGATCTCAAATGAATTCAAAGGATCGTCCGAGGCGGCCCCGCTTCATATTTGCGATTGGTAATTGAATTGACGATCAAAGGTGACTCCGGCTTCATCGACTAGAGAATCCAGAGCCTCCTTGTCTTCTATCGCTCGTATAAGCTCTTGATCCGTCACCTCCTCCATCTCGGGTTCTAGTGACAAAATAAAATGAAGGTGAGTGTGATAGTCATTTTATAGGCTGACGCGAGTCATACGTCAATGACTGATGCCAACGATTCGTGATATTGCCTTATATCATAATAAGAAGGGTACAAATAAGAAGGTGAGAACGGTGTTCACATCAGTTGTGGGTCTAGGTATCACCAAAAACCATGAGCTACTCTTTGGAAGACAATCCTAAAGGGGTGACCGTGGAATTGGAGAAGGTTCTGGCTGCGGTGGAATACCACGCTGACGAAGACAATTGTAGAAGGTTTCTTAGAGATGCAGAAAATTATACTGTGGAAGACTATCGAAGAAGGGAAGACTACTGTGGAAGGGTCCTCTTGAGTGTGTTGTTGGCCTTAACACGTGCTGCAACCCTTCATGTAACATGCTCCTTAGGGGTGTCACGTAATTAGCATGATGGTGGGTGGGTGGAATCATCAGTTTAATGCACATGTCGTGTTGTTTAGCCAGTTCCTCAGCTAGGGTATTGATACCCATAGCTCCTCCCGTAAATAGGACGCGACCATTCAAAACACCCACCTCCATGGGAGGATCTTGAGACATAATCGTGGAAAGGATAGGTCGAAACAGTATTCTCATTTTTAGCTTTGAAAAATGCGCATCGCTGACGTCAGCTTTGACCCTATTTGCTCTTGTTTACGCAAATTGCGCATCGCTGTCGTCAGCTTTGACTCTATTGGTGCGCTCACATCATACCGTGTAGGAATAAAAGGGATGTGTATCTGGGTGGGGATCAGTACCATCAGGCGTCGCCCATGGAACCAAACTAGGGCCTTGGCGTTTCTTAATTATGATCAATGATCTAGTAGTCGAAAATGCTCGCTTATGGAAATATGTAGATGACACCACCATCTCTGAGATGGTTGCAAAAGGGGAGCTTAGTAACGCACAGTGTCATACGAGAAATACAATGGTCCCTGGAAAATAGAGTCCAGTTAAACAATGAAAAGTGTAAAGAGATGCGAATATCCTTTTCAAAGTTCCAGCAAGAATTTGAGCCCATTCTCATCAATGGCAATGCTTTAGAAGTGGTAGAAAATGTAAAGCCTTTCGGTCTTAATATCTCCAGTAATTTGACCTGGAATACCCATATTAATGAAATTGTTAAAAAAGCCTCTAAGAGATTATATTTCTTGATTCAACTTAAAGGGGAATGCAGGGGTATTTGTGAAGTAATTTTGCATTATTGGCCTGTTTCTTTCTGTTTTGATTTCTGATAACCTTTTTTGCTAGCTGTTCGTTTTAACCTAAATATGTTTTCTGAAGTGAGAGCGAAAACGTGATTAGAATTCCGCCATCTTAAAACCTAACTGCCTGCTCATAATTGGTCAGCGTGTATTCGTGTGATGTCAAATCGTCAAGAAATATAATCCTGTCGAGACTCGAAGGTGTGGACTTGTTTAGTGTACATGCAAAATATGGCTTTGTCGGAGTCTGGCCCGATTAACGATAGTTTGAACGATGAAGAAAGTGCTACGAATAGCTTTTCCATTCAGCCCTATCAGTTTGAGCCACGCAGGAACTCAGATAAAATCGAGAGTAGTAACGAGAGCATTTTGGGCAAGGAGGAAAACACATCCGCGACTGGAAAATTCTGATTGGTATGTAACATGCAACTGCGATGTTTCATCCGATAATATCCATGTACTGCTTTCACTGTATTCATACAATAAGAGAAGGAATAAAAGATACTTAACTCGAGTGTGTACCCTTTTTTTTGGTACTGTATTTTATCGACTATAAGCCGAGCGATTTTTACACATGTTTAGCCTAACTTAAAGTAAAATCTGACTTGTAGAGGGGGTTTCGGCTAATAGCCGAGAGTTTAACCTGAACAAAAATTATGGACTTAATACAACTAAGATAAATATGCATATATTTGCATACAAGCCGAGCAAAACACATGGACAAAATAGCAAGAGTTATTGGTCATTAACTTTTAATATGTGGTGGCTCCTGAAGGAGCCGTTCCTTTTCTGTTGTGAACTGCACGTTCGAGGATGTCAGCTTATGGCTCATCTTCGTTTTTCGTATCAAATTCTTCATCCATCATCCATCATCCATCTCATCTTCTTTGGCGTCATTTTCTTGCTTCTCTTCATAGATGGCATCATCCTCGGTGCCGTCAAGCGCATTGGAGATGCTGCAAGTAAGAAATGAATTCCTCACCATCTCCTCCGGGATCTCCCTCCAAGATTGCTTTATCCAACGTAAAACGAAGTTTCTTGACGGCGCTTTCTTTTTCCCAGCAGGAGTAAACTCAAAGAGGCCAGTTACCATCCATGACAGGTACTTTCTTCTCACATTCTCCTTGAAGGGCTTATTTAGACACTTGTCTAAGGGCTGGAGAACTGGAGTTAGGCCTCCGGGAATAACAGCTACATCGATACTTCGCCGCTGCAATGCTTCTTTCACTGACTCAGTAAGATGAGCACGAAAGGAGTCCCAAACCAACAGCGATCGCTCACCA